GTGGCTAGTGTAAAGAGCTGTGCTGCTAAGCCCTGGGCAGTCAGTTTCAATAAACCAGCTGCACTTAGGGAGAAAGACGGGCACTCTCCTTCCCTGTGATTTACTACCTCCGAAAACCTGTTGCAGGGGCAGCGATGGGTTGAATCCGATATGATGACATATACCAACAATAAGTGGACAGTTGTGCTCTCAATCCAAAGGCAACTCTCTCTGGGAGAAAAATGAGTCATCACCTCTTGTACGATTTACAGCCTCAAAAAAATCCTCTAGAGGGTCAGCTAAGAGTCAATTCCAAATCTACAGATAAACTATGGGAGAAAACTGTATTATCTCAAAGAGCCCTGGTAGTGCTGCAGGTTAGGCACGGAATGCTTGAAAAGGCCAGTGTTCTAAACCCATACACCAACTGCTCCATGGCATAAACAAGACACTGTCTGCTTCCACAAAGATTTACACTCTAGGAAAATTTGTGGGATTGGGTTGCTATGAGTCAGAACAGACCCAAGGGGAGTGAGTTTGCTTTTTTGGTTTTCACTACCTTACTCTGGTGCAGTCAAATGAATCCCTACCTATTTGCCTGCTCTTTATCAGTCTTGGCAGGCACTGGTTAATGGTAATTTAAGAATCCACCTAGATGAAGACAGAGAAGCAGAAGGGTATACGGCAGCACCCAGCATTTACTCAATTTCTTCCTGAAACACCTTGGAATTGAACTTCAGGAAATGAAGCCGCAGAGGCCACCAGTCAATTTTTTTTTCCTTGGGGGCTGAGTTGGTGCTATCAGCCAATTTTCATTCTTTTTCTTCTTATAACATTGTTGAAAACATAATACAGAATCACTGCTGCCACCCAGGGAGTGGAAAGCCCTATGCAAGAAGGACACTGTCTTAAGATTTACATATTAAGTAATCCAAGGCATCAGAATATCTCATAAACTGTACCTTCCGGGCCAGATTTTCAAAAAGTCAACATTTGAGAGCACTGGTCTGTACAATGTTGTGCTGCAAACAAATGTCTGCATCTGATTACTAAATTTTATTAGCAGCTTTAGAATCACACTAAGCACAAAAACATACAAATCATCTAGCAAAATTTTTTCTAAATACAAAAGGCAAAAACGATTTAATATAATGCACTTGGAACATTCTCTTAAGTTAAAAGCAGTCATTTGAAAACTGTATCTGAGTTTTTGTCACTGAATCCTTTGTTGTTGTGTTGTTATGTGCCGTCGAGTCGTTTCCGACTCATAGTGACCCT